CTTGTTACTTACTATCACATCCTACTGCTACCTTATTACTTGCTATTACATCCTATGCTACCTTGTTACTTGCTATCATCTCCTATATTTACTGATGTTACTTACTTGCTATCATCTCCAATATTTACTGCTACCCTGTTATTTACTATCACATCCTACTGCTACCTTATTACTTGCTATCACATCCCACTGCTACCTTGTTACTTGCTATCACATCCCACTGCTACCTTGTTACTTGCTATCACATCCTATATTTACTTTTACATCCAATCATACTATTGTTACCTCACTGTTAAATCCTGATTTTCCTCCACCGTTTCTTGTGCTGCGTGCTGCCTCCTCAGTCCTCATACTTACTACCATAGCTTCTACAATGTACGGATACTTGGTCAATTATTGATATCAGCCTCTCTCTCTCTCTCCTCTATCACTTGCCATCACTACATCTATATATAGAAAATAGAGTTTAAGAAAAAACTCATGCAATGTATAGGTCTATATAGTCCATACATTGTCCTATACATTTATAAGTACTAACTTACTTGTTTGTTCTTTGTTTTTTTTTTTAAGGTACCTACATGTTCTGATTTTTGTAAATGTGTATGCCTAAAGATAAATACTGAATATCCATAAAGTTGATTGACTTTTTTTTAATAACTAACTACAGACCGATAGTATTATTCTTGTTATTAATTACAGTCAATTTGGGTTTAGGATAAAAACATGAGCCAAGCAGTTCAAAGGCTAACAATTAATGTATTTTTTTAAGCACTGGAAAAGTGAAACAATGTATTTTTAAAATTATATGAAAATGAAATAACACACAGACTAAGCGAATTTCTGTAATTATATCGACCTCCGGACCACACCCGAAATAATTTTTTTAAATGTAAAAAACTCTGAAAACATTTTTTGCGGAAAATGTTAATGTGGGTACTCAAATTAACCGGTAGAGCAAGCTGAACAAGAATATCCAAGAGTTATCAAGATCAAATGGATATTAACGGAGATACGACCGGAAAAGCGTTGGAAAATTAAGTTATCGCCAATTAAAATGACCAAAAATAGGTTGGGTTAGGTTAGATTAGGTTGGGTTATTTTAGGTTAGGCTAGGTTATGTTATGTTGGGTTAGGTTGGTTAATTTGATCTTGAAAAATCTTGGATATTCTTGTTCAGCTTGCTCTACCGGTTAAGTTGAGTACCCACAATGTTATTTTCAGCAAACAAGTTTTTGGGGTTTTCTCGAATTTCCGGGTAAACGGGTCGTTTTCGAGAAAAACTACAACCATTTTTGGAATCAGCTTGAAATTTTGGACATTAAAAAACATCGGGTGAGGTCCGGAGGTAGATATATAATTACCCGAATTTCCATTTGTCTGATTATATTTTTACTAAAATATTTCCTTAAACATGTCAGATTCATTCTCTATTAAAATAACATTATATTTAATCAGTGCTTAGTTTCGCCGCTATGGGGAAGGGAAACAGTTTTTTATCAAATGTTAATAGTACTGTACAGGATGAAATATATAAATTTACCAAATTTGATCATAATAAATCCATAAAAAGCAAGATTACGAGCAAGATTAATTTTTTATGGTTAATTTATACTATGACTGTTTTCTTTTTCTCCATAAGAATACTATGGGATTTTTCGTACAGTTTTTGGAATGTTTCCGTAACCTCCAATTGAACAACGCTTCACTATACAAAATTGTCCAAATTTCTCTCCAAATAGCAGCAAACGTAAACCTATTCTTTAAATCTAATGTTATTTATGGGGAATAAATATGTCTTGTTTATGGTAATTTTTAAGTCACTTAGTCTGCAGGTGTGCTGTGGTGGTGGAGGGGGGTATAATTTGAAGGAAAGCAGTGTACAATTATTTAATCACGGTATTGGTTTTTTTTATAAATAAGTATTGGAGAAGAGTAAGAAGAAAATGGCGTATACCTGGTCAACTTTCCTAGGTAACAATATTTAATAAAACCCTTATGTCAAACCTTATTCATTATGTTTGCAGAAGATTTAGTTAGCAGTACAAATTAAAAGCAAGGTCTGGCTAAAATCTTCTGTAATTGATTATGAATGATATGAAATAGATTAGGTACCTGATCCGGAGACTACTGTCGGGGCAAAAATTATGTAGACTCGAGTTTACAGTATCACACCTCCGAAATGGCTTGTTCGATTTTGACGAGACACCTATCAAATTAAAGGAAATATTGTCAAATTTTATATTCCAGCGATTTTTGACATTTACTTCACTTTATACAATAACTAATATAGCGAAAAAAGTGAAAAAATTGGGTGTTTTTCACCATTTTCGATAAAATCTCAACTTCGGAAAATTATTACCAAATAACTATTTACCGAATGAGCTTCAAATTTTAATAGTAGATATTAGGGTTGTTTATATAAACATTTTTGTCAAGTTTCATAATTTTAACATTATTATTATTAATGTTCTTGTAAATTTTGTAAACCCTTCTTAACTTTGTTAACTTGGGCCGAAAATTAATTGGTTTATTATTCATTAATTAATATTAATATTAATTAGTATTAATTGGTCGCATGAACAGAAAAATAGTGAGTAAATGATAAACATTAGTGATCTATAATGAGTTTATATTTGTTAAACATTTTTATTCCCGCGCACTTGTGGGGATTTCGCTGCTGAAGGCCAGAGGAGTGCGATGTTGCCATCAAACATTTCCCATCAGCTTTTCTCTTTTCGTTTGGACCATTGGACCTCTAGCTTTTAAAATGTATTTTTTTAGCTTTTTATATTTTTTTCCCTACAGTCACCCGACAAAGTTTGCTTCCTTGTACTGTTTATAGTACAGAAAGCTGCTAATTGCTGCATATTTATACTTTGCCGTACGATTTATACTTTGTCGTACGGTTTATACTTTGCCGCACATCAGGATTCCAATGAAACAACACAAACCAGCGTGGTTCTATTATGCACGTAATCCGTGTACGCTTGGAAATAGGCTGGCAACACTTAAAGATAATAATACTATGAGCAGCTGATTGACTATTATAACTACGATTTAACCTGTCATTTCGTGTTTATAGTTTCGGTATTTCTGAACTTTCTGGACTTTTCTTTTAAACGTTTTTAAAACATTCCTACGATCTCAATAAACAAGAAAATACCTTAAAAGCATTTTTTTAGGTGCGGAAACCACTTCAAATTACAAAAAGATACGGAACTATATTCTCAAAACACGGAGCACATTTCTTGCTGAGGAAAAATAGCGGAGTGATAGACCGGGTACTACTTTCTCTAGGCTCTAGGGCACCTATTTGTGTTGCCAGCTGAACCTAAAAACGTGTTGTATAGTGTTTGAAAGACTAATTATTTATATGCTTTATAGTGACTGTAGGAAAAATATAATGTGTAACACGAGTGCAAAAGGCCTTTGATGCACTCGAGATCATTCCGCACTCGCCTGCGGCTCGTGTGTAAACATTGCTCTCGTGTGCAGCAAAATGCCACTTTGCCCACTAGTTACACAAATAACTATTGTGTTTTTCACTTAGTACTTAATCCTCCACATCAGACATCCCACTCCGTTCCTTTTTTTGACCGAAAATAAAAACATATTATCGCAATAACGATAATTTCAATCTCGCACTCAGAATACTTTCGATGTCAAGGCATTATCAAAGCCTGTACAACTCGCAGTTCGAAACTGGAAAAAACTAAATGAATAAATAACAATGGTTGGTTCGTATGCTTACTCATATTTACAAGAAGGGTGGCACGAGTCATGACCAAACTGGCAACACCGCATTCCTCGCCAGGGAGAAAACGAGCCTTCCGCAGAGAAATTCAGACAAATCAACCCCCACGCACGGGAATAAAAACGTGAAACAAATATAAACTCACTAAAGATCACTATTAATTTTTATCATTTACACTAGGCCTATATATTCTTTGTTCATACGAACAATTAATAGTTACAACGGTAGTGTAGGTAACATTTATATTTCACCACGAGGGGCTAAAGTGAGTCTTCAAGAAAATGAGTGAGGGCTGAAAATGTGATTAACTAAACTTTTAGTCACAGTGCGGATACAGACTCACTGCAAGTTTTAACAATCCAATGGTATTTTAATATGTACCTTATATAACATGTTTTAAAAGCTAAACAATTGTAAATGTTAAAAATCCTGAAACTATCAATATCCAAGATTAAAAATGTTTCTTAAACATGATAAAAATGTTTTAGTCAAATCTACTCAAAATGGAAATGATGGAGCAATTAATAATAAAAAAAATAATAAAAAAAACTATACTAACTCAGGGCAATCCTTTTGTGATTTGAACCTTTCCTTTTGCATCTGGAGACTTAACTGAGGGACATAATGATATATCATGCATCAATTGGCAGAATTGCAGAATAGGCCTATTACAGAATTTCCTGTGTTCAAAATAAGATCTTTGTAATTAAATGATATATATTTTACTACGATTAAATAGTTTATACTAATCACATAACATATAAGTATTAAGAATATATTATATTTTTATTTAATTTTAATACAGTAGAATGATCAACGTTGGTTAGCAAAACATTTTGCGATGTATTGATGTGTTTGATCAATACGGTAGTGAATACGTGATTAATTAATGGAAATTATTTTTGTCTAAAATTAAATTTAATCATGAATTATTAAATTTTATGACGATGTACACAATAACGGGCAATGATTGTATGATGCAGATTCATCAGCTAAAAGGAGGTTGGGTTGAGCAATTAAGGCTTATCGATCAACAAGACCCTTTCTGTGTCTCCCTACAGCAATCCGTTATCGTTGTTATCATCGGATGAATTTTTTATCACCGCGGTCGATACGAACGCGGAATATATGACTATTGTAACGGAGGCCAAGAAACGCGGCGTTATTGGAGATGAAATAGTTACGACGGATCTGTAGGCGAGTTGTCCATATATGGTCTAGTCGACCAGCGGTGCAGGGACAGGTTGGATGCTGTGTGGGCTTCTTATTCCTCCGCAGTTTAAGTCGAGGCATAATTTTACTCCGAGTCAATCGGCCGAAACACTCGTTAAATGCACAAACTCGGTTGTTGACTGAATGCAACTCTGTTTTTCCTTTGGCACACTATCAGACATCAACAGAGTTCCGATATTTTTAGTGACGTCAGGTCCGTGGGGGGAGGGGACTGTGAGTGAGCAGTGAAGTCATGGTGGGAGGTAGAAGAATCTTGGGTGTGTGTGAATTGTGATGTTCTAGTGTGAATTTTGTTAGTTTGACAGATCGTCGACTGTTTTCATTGCATTTTGTGGTATGTTATTGTTTTTAAATGTACATTTAACCTTGTACTCGACTTCTTAGGTTTCAGTGCTTTGCTGAAATTGAGTTTACATCGTTTAAAAACACATCTGGGGTTTTTAGTCTAATGTTCTCATTACCGAACTGACACAGCCATATTTGTATGAAATCATCGATTTCGGGGAAGATTTGCTGAGTAGTGAGTCTTAGTTTACAGTTTTTGCTTCGTATTAAACGTTTTGTCGATTTCTGATTAAATTGTTACACTCTCCAAGCTAAATACTGAGCTCGAGGTAGGCCTAGGCTTGAGAGGTTCTGTTTTTTGTCGTTTTAATATAGGGATAGGGATCTGTATTTATGTGCAATTCGTGCCCAAGATTTAGGATCAAGAGATAAAATACAACATTATTTATATAATAGGGGTATACCATTATAAATACAATAGAAAATGCTCAGTATTTAAGGTCTAACAGTTTCGAGTTTTAAGTCAAGTTCACATAACCTCTCCTGTCATTATTGATTTTGCTCCATACACTCCCCTTTATTACTTAGGTAATTACCAACTTAACATGGTAACTTAGGAATTGTTTTTTTATAAGAGTAAATGTTGCAGCTTTGGGTTGATAAAATCCTTTAATGACTAATTAAGAAAAAATTCAAATTATTGAATTTGTGTTTTACAGTGATAAACTAACTTAATTTATTGTGTAGTCTCAAATCACTTTGACAGACAAGAGATTAACTTATTTTACCCTGATTTGTCTAGTGATTTCTTTAGGTACTCCCACCCTCTAAGGGTGGATGATATAGTTTCAGCGATGATGTCGCCTTCTTCAGATCCTTGACATGAGAAATCAGCTTCTCTCATATTGAGGTCATCAAAACACGGGTCACCGGAATTTTAGCCCCCTGGAATTTTACCCCCTGTGCAAAGCTGACGTCACTCTGACGTAGTAACCTGAGCGCTCAAAAGTTTGTTCGCGGGCGGAATTTTACCTCCGCGGATTTGGAAGTCTAATGAAAATAGACAGAGCGTGATTAATTAGATTAGCAATAAAAACCAGAATTTTACCCCCTGTCCATATAACTAGCGTTTAGACAACTAAAGATGTACGGGCCGGATTTTTACCCCCGGATTTTTACACCCGGAATTTTACCCCCGGATTTTTACCCCCTGGCCGGATATAACTTAGAAGTTATTAAGAATGATTGATTTTCCTTTTTTTGTTTTTATTTAATTGTAAACATTTTATTTTTAAGTAGCCTATCTTTATTTATTTATTTTGTAATCTCTTCCGAGTAAACAGAATTTGCTGTTTAATTTTGATGTTCGGGATTTGCGTTTGGGGTCATCTGTTGGTTAATAAGTATGTAAAATAAACTGAGTAGCTGGGGTTAAATGATAATTGGGTGAACATTTCTTTGTAAAGAAACAATAAGGCATATTTTGTTGTTGTTACAATACAAACAAAAAACATTGTTTACCATGGTTGTATAATAAATTGTTTAAGAAAAATCTTTGAATCAATTACCATTCTGATGTTTGTTTATACGTCATATTAACCAACAGTTAGCTTCAAATATCGAATCCAGATACTAGAATCTCAAAATTAAAATTAAAAACCTGTTTGATTAGTTGATGTTACAAATAAATTAAGATAGGCTACTTAATAATAAAATGTTTAAGGCTACTAATAAATTAAAACTGAATGGAAGACAATTAACCATTTTCACTCATTTATAAATCTGGCCAGGGGGTAAAATTCCGGGAGTAAAAATCCGGGGGGTAAAATTCCAGGGGTAAAAATCCGGGCCGTACATTTTAAGCTAACCTCATGAAGGGGGTAAGAGTCCGGGGTAAAATTCTGGCCCGTACACTCAAGGTTTTTATAATTTGATGTGTTCTGATTAAATTCACAACTGTGAAAATATACGTTTAAATCCGTGTTTAATCCATCGAACTGATGTCGCAAAACTCAAAAGTTCGCGGCTGGAATTTTACCCCCTGGTTTGTGACGTCACGTTTGTCCAAGGGTTAAAATTCCAGGGGGGATAAAAATCCGCTACCCCGTGCAGATATAGTAATTAGAATAATTAATTTTCTGATTTCAGTTTTGATTGAATAGTAAACATTTTATTAGTAAGTACAGTACTGTAGTCTATCTTAACCCTCCAAGTGTCCATAGTTTAGGCCTTAATGTCCACCTATTTTTGGCGCATTTGCAAGGTTTTATTAAAACGGATCTGAGAAGCTTAAAACAATGTTAATTCTAATGTTCTATATACCATTTTGTTTGGAAAATCATGGGCTTCAATATTATATATAAAACATAAGGAACATTTTTTCAAAAAAAAAAATTTTAGGTAAAAAAAATATAATTTCGAAAATTTTCAAAAAAAAAAATAAGTTCGCGCTCAATGAAATTGTATAAATTATAGGCCTATAAATATTTGAAAATAGCCACTTTGTTCTAAATTTTATGAGGATTACAAATATATAATAATATAAGGAAGTAGATTTGCAAATAAATAAGTTATGGGCAAAAAACTGATTTCAGTACATAGCGTTTAGCTAAGAATGCATAGCCTAACCATAGCTAGGAATCTGGCTGATAATTTACATCAATATCACTACCTACTTCTTCAGGATCATCAACCAGCACTTCAAAACCACTTAAATCTTCTTATAATGCACCACGTATATCACTACTTTTGATTTTTAACACTAAAACAATGATAAACGTAATAAAACACATCAGTCATCGGTCCGGGGGAAACCTAGCTGTTTACAAATACACGCACGTCAGCTGTCTGCTACAATATTTTCGGAACTAAAATGAATAGCGCTTAGAGACAGACCTCTGGAGAAAGCTTAGAATATTACGGAAAGAACGATACCTAACTCGATCCAGTTCAATCCGATTCAGTCAGTCATAGAGCCTTCGCCGTAAACGATGTCTGCGTGTCGAAAAATCGACAAGTAACACTACACAAAGTGTGCTGCTTGTCGAATTTTCGTCAAGTAACACTGGGAGGGTTAATTTATTTGTAATCTCAACTAAGTAAACAGGTTTCGCTGTTTAATTTTGATATTCGAGTTTTGGGATTTGACTTTTGGGGCTAACTGTTAGTTAATAATACCTATAACTAAACAAACTGATTAGCCCATTTGAATGATAATTGGGTGAACATTTCTTAAACGATTTATTAAACCACTGTAGAAAAACAATATAATTCAAAGAAAATTAATTAGGCTATTCTCACTAATTTCTATATAATATGGCCTGGGGGTAAAATTCTGGGTGTAAAAATCCGGCCTTTACGTTTTTAGCTGACTTCATGAAGGAGGTAAAATTCCAAGTTCAGAACTGTGAAAATATACGTTTAATTCCACCTTTAATATATTTAACTGAAGTTGTGCAACTCAAAAGTTCGCGGCCAACATTTTACCCCCTGGTTTGTGACGTCAGATTTGCTCAGGGGATAAAATTCCGCTACCCCCGAAAACACTTAAAACAGTGATTAACTATAACATATTTGTGGGTTTTCAAATTAATTAAAACCGCATAATAAATCAAAACATAAAAAACAATGTTAAAAATCTTGAGGTTACGGTATGTTACAAGAAATGTCAACGATGCAGATCATGCCAAGTAGGATGGTTAAAAAACTTTCTGATTATGACTAAATTTATAGTTGTTATGTGTTAGCTGAGACCACCAGTTTTCTACTGCCTTATCCCCCTACTTGGGGGATCAAAAGAAACAATTGATACCTACTACTCTAGTGTTGTGAAAAATAATTTTAATAGCCTAGTTTAAAACTCGATGACCAAATTACTCTTAACCTATTGATTTTTTTCATTTCAGGATATACTGACTTCATACTAGAAAAGATTCATGTTATTTTAGGTAAGTTGCTGTTTATATTTATGAACAATTTAGGCATATTCTTAAATAAAATCATGTGAATGTTTCATGCCTATTATGACAGAAATCAACCGATCTTTCTCACTACACTTTTCACTGGGGTTTTGATATTAAAAAAGGTGTTCTGTTGCTCGTACATTTTTTAAGTTGTCATTATTCTGTATTATGTCATCCATAAACTTAATGGGCTAAAAAGACCTATATAGCATAGGTCCAAAATCAAACTGATGTAGCGGTTATTCTTTAGGCCCTATATATATATATACAAAAAAAAAAACCATAGAAATGAAAGACTATTTTAAGCACACAATTTGAATTTTCATAGGTGGCATTTTCTTTTAGAATATTCGTTAGGTGAGCATCTCAACTTCATTAGGTACCTACCTTAGAGTAGGCCTACCTCTCAATTTTTATTTCAACAATCAACATAAATGCTATTGAACATATGGACTCAGATTTAAGGGAGCATCATTTAAGAGGAGGGCTTCAGACCAGCAGCGGAGTTGGCCTATACCAGTGCTTGGCTAGGAATGATCGAGTACTCAGGATATGACGATAACGAAGGCGATAGAGTAAAGCTAGAGTTACACCTGTCCGATTCGGTCTGTTTGAATTTGTGAGGTGTGGCTACACATGTTTGATTCGTTCTGGTCCGGCCAAAAGAGGTGGCTACAAATATACGAGATTCAAAAAAACGCCCACGTTCTACGCTTTACGTGACATCGGTAATAGCTGAACGCTCATAGAACCCCCCGATCCTCACCCGAATTTCGGAAGTGTGCGGCTACACTTGTCCAGTTATGCTTGCATCTGCCAAAATGCGGGGGAATGCTTCCTGGGGGATTTTTCCACACCGGACAGAACCGGACCAGAGCAGACAAGTGTAGCCGCACTCATTTACGTAAATAGGAAGCATTGTTCCGCATTTTGAAGGACAGGACCAGATCGGGCAAGTGTAACTACTGCTTAAGGATTTAGGTCAAAGGTGATTTTAATGCGTAAATAGGGATTGAATTTGATCTAAATTCAGAACATAGTGTCAAAGCGTATCTACAATTAATTGTGGGGTTAAGGAGATCAATACTCAAGAGATGTATCATTTCTGAACTTGTTCCAACGAATGATTAATATGGTCAACAGTCTATAGACCTTCTCAGATTGTAGATTTGTTGTGTATTATAGATGGTTTTATTGCCTGTCCTTTGTAAAAAAAAGCTAATTGTTTTCAAATCATTCAACACCACAGCAAAAAATATTCAATCGTAGCCTACATGACAAATACAAACAAATAGATCTGTACTTCTCAGCATTGGATGGATTTAACATGGGTCCGGATTAACCTTCTTTGACTCCCTCGGACAAACTCAATGCGGTTTTTCTGTGTTCGTTAAAGGCATACAATGTAATGTATAAATAGAGATGTTTCAGTAGGTACCGGTATGCAATAGCTTTTGAATTTTCTTCAGGAATTTAAATAATTTAGGAATTTTTCCATGACATAAATCTATTGTAAAAAGAACGTCAGAAAAATCGCAGGATCATCGCCTCCAGATAACTACTCCCAAAGCAGGTTTTAATACCATATTGATGTCAGGAGCCCTGTGGGTGGTTTTCCAGTCGCGGACAATCAAGCTATATTCCAGGAGAATTGATTCGTTCAATTCGAAAGGATCGTCCAAGTGAACAAGTGTTCCAGATCATATTGACCAAAGAGACCTGTTTATTTCCACTATTTCGTTTACATTATTGTCCGTTCCTAGACCAACCGACCAGACGGATAGAACTAATGATTCAGGAACCGGCTGATCTGTTAGCTGTAGATAAACAATAGGGGCATTTCTTACCAAATAGGCTAGCAATAGAAAGGGACCAATCCGTGCGTGCGGTGTTGTGTGTTTATTCCTTTGGGTGGCTGAAACAATATAATACAGAGACATGTATGGTTTAAACAAATTTCTCCAACGGGGAAAATCTAACCGTAGGTGGCATGGTAAGACCATTTACCTGGGGACTGATCCATTTTTTTTTCAATGTCCCCACAGCCAAGAACAGTATTTTTTCAAATATATGTGTGTGTGTGTGTGTCCGTTATTATTTCCTTAATTTGTAAGGTTAAATCCCAATAGAGCAGAAGAAAAATAAACTACATTTACAGAAACGGTCTGGTTCACAGTAACTTAACTGCAACATACAGGGTGGTTACAAAGTACCCTCACCCTTATATTTTTATAAATAATTTCTATTTTAAAGAATTTTTAACTAAGGGATTAATTGTAAAGGTTCATTCTTAATTCACATTCTCTAACTTTTGTAGTAGGCCTACCTAATTTAAAATTTGAGGGTTACCTTTTTTGTGCTAAGATGTAGTCAACATAAGCGTTTTAATGGGAAACTAGTCATGCAACATGTCAAACAACACACCCTTTACTCCCTGAAAAGGAGTTTTGATGCAATCAAAACTCAAAAGGTTTATACCGAATATTTGGTCTGTGTATCCCTGGATAGCTTTCAATTAGCCTACTAGATGTAAGAAATATTGTATGGAATTTTCACTGAAATTATTAAGTGAGAAAGAACAATGCAAGGTTATTTAAAAAGTAAGTAAGATCTTGACAGTGAAAAACTGGTTGTAACTGCTTTCCCTCCATAAAAATGGGAAAACCACATTTTACCCCATAAAACCCTGTTCCCAACGTCCAACCACGCAGGTATACAAACTCCAATAATGGGTTACCAAATGTCATATAAACCAGACATGTTTACTCATTTACTTTGAAGCAAACTGGAGTCCTCATTGGTCCAGCTGTCAAAATTACCTTCAAAACAAGATGGCGCATTCATATATATTTTTCATATTGTCATCTGGTGAGCTTACCCCAAATACTAGTAAAATATATTTGTGCGACCTTATTTGAGCCTATTGAGCACTAAGGTATAGTCTGATATTATTTAAGGATATCATTGAACAGGTAAACGTTAGAGTAGAATAGTGGGAAAGAAGAAAAATGGCTATGGTTTGAGTCAATACCTATAACAACATCATAGACGGTAATTGAAAAATGGTTCGACTTTAGTTCCACAAAACATGCTGAGTTAGGGCGCAAGGAAAAGTTGGTTAACCCCGATGAGATTCGCTTGGTTTTGTAGTTAAAGGTCCATTTCATAAAATCTCCGACCTAATTCTTCAAATCTCTTCTGTCGCAATAAATGTCCATTTTTAACAGTAAACAGTAAAAATATAAAATAAATTAATCATTTCGTAATTTTTCTGGGAAATATTTACCACACCTAAATCGATTCAAGTGCAATTGAGTAGATAAAAGTTAAAACATCCACATATGGATGTTTCTTCTTACCATTGTGCTCACTTAATCAAATATTTATAGTGTTTGCCATCAACAATTGACTATTCTTAAATCTTAAGTGTGGATATCAAACTTTCTCCTTAGGCCCTACTTTTATTTAGTATTAGTTTTAATCCTTGCTATGCAATTTAAAAAAACTCAATTTATATGAACATTTTTACTTGTTTATATTCCTCTAGTGCAAACTCATATTTCAGTTGGATCGATTGTTTACATTGGTGTGCTGCCAATGATGCTGTGGAGCCTATTCATAGATCTCGGTGTTGTGTCAACTTCTTAATTACTCTACAATTTGGTCTGGACATTAAATTAAGATGTAATCAAATATTATTCACTTCAGATGTAAGATCATGAATCAATTTCTTATTTTTAAATAGGATTATTGGTTCATTTATATTCATTTAAGTAATCACAAAAATACTAATAATGTTAAATACATTTGATTTTTAATCAAATTGGATGTTGAAAAATATAATTAAATCAAACAGTTTTTTTTATTTGTGGTACTTCCACTTTAAAAAGGAAAACACGAATAACAGCAATTAGGCCGAATACAACTTCCCTACTTTTATTCTATATTGAACTATTTTTTCTTTTAGTATAATTCTATTAGATATTTGGTTAACACACTTTTAATTTAGTCCTAGAAATTAATTCCTGAAAAATCAACTACGTACATACTATCAGTGAATAACATAAACATAATTTAACTTCTAAAATCCACCCTTATAGGACAACTTTTCATTTTAAATTAAATAATTTATTACTATTATTTTATGGTTTTGTTTACACTAATTTTCGTATTTCAATAAATTATATTATTGAATGGACATGAAAGTACCTAGCCCATTCATTTTCTAATTAAGACCATCACATCTTTTAAAGGAATTATTTACAACAAAAAATAATCTCTTAGACAGTTTGTTTTTGTCCAATTGACGTGGACCAACCAATAAAAGGTTTTTGTTCACAAAGATTAAAATTTAATAACAACAATACTAGAAATATGTTTACCTCCTAAACTCGTGAATGATAAAATTCAAAGGGGAAATCCGAAATGATATTGCAAATGAAGGTTTTTGGAAACATTTTTGTACACTCAATAGTCAATACCATAAATTAAGAATATATTTAATAATATATTCTTAAATATTATTTAAGAAAGGGTAGATTAACTTACTGACATTGCCACTTCTTCATCTTCTAAAATATTGTGTAACTTGATAAATATCAATATAAAATATCACTCAACTGAAATATATGTTGGCCTAAAATGGTATATTTCATCACTAGGGCCTAAAGTGACTCTTTTTGACCCGAGGTCGGAAAATGAGCGAGGGTTAAAAAGTCACTTTTTGCCCGTGTGGTGAACTATATTTTTCGGCATATTGCATCATTAATAAACAAAAACAAAGCTAAAAAACGAAATCATTTTTATGTAAAGATAACCTCTCAACACGATTTCCAGCTTGTTTTGAATTCTGCTAATGCAAATAAGCAGCTGTTTAGTAAGATTCAATTATTTCGTCTATTACGGTTGTGTTATTATACCATCGATATGTCGAACAATCGACAACAATAGGCCACAACCTTACCTAATAAATTAATTGATAAATA